TTTTGATAAGGAATATTGAACAAAAGATGTTCAAAATAATGTTCTGAACAATATGCAACCTTTCATTTTTCGCTAAACGTCCCCATTAGGGAGTTGAAGGGTTGGCCCCTAAATATGTCTTTTGCAAATAACTCGAAAACGAAAAAGAATCTCTGAATAGTTGTTGAACAAAAAGTGTTCAAAATCCTAAGAGCTTTAAGATGAGATCAAGAAAAAGGGACTGGGTGCTCAAATTAGGGGCCAAGAGGGGCCAAAAGTCTTCAATGGATAACTCTTTGTGAGTTAATATTTTGTAATACATTACTGAAGCAAAGATGTTTATCTCCACCATTCACAACTATATGTTATGATTTTTATGTCGTATGGTACATAATTAGGGGCCACAAGGGGCCAGAATACTAAATCTTTGACGCTTTATATCTCGAAAGTAAGAAAAATTTTGATAAGTAATATTGAACAAAAGATGTTCAAAATCATGTTCTAAACAATATGCAACCTTTCATTTTTCGCTAAGCGTCCCCATTAAGGAGTTGAAGGGTTGGCCCCTAAATATTCCTTATGCAAATAACTCGAAAACGAAAATGAATCTCTGAATAGTTGTTGAACAAAAAGTGTTCAAAATCTAAGGAGCTTTAAGATGAAATCAAGAACAAGGGGCTTGGCGTTCAAATTAGGGGCCAAGAGGGGCCAGAAGTCTTTAATAGATAACTCTTTATGAGTTAATATTTTGTAATACATTACTGAAGCAAAGATGTTTATCTCAACCATTTACAACTATATGTTATGATTTGTATGTCGTATGGTACATAATTAGGGGCCACAAGGGGCCAGAATACTAAATCTTTGAGGCTTTATATCTCGAAAGTGAGAAATATTTTGATATGTAATGTAGAACAAAAGATGTTCAAAATCATGTTCTAAACAATATGCAACCTTTCATTTTTCGCTTAACGTCCCCATTAGGGAGTTGAAGGGTTGGCCCCTTAATATTTCTTTTGCAAATAACTCGAAAAGATACAGAATCTCTGAAGAGTTGTTGAACAAAAAGTGTTCAAAATCCAAGGAGGTTTAAGATGAAATCCAGAAAAAGGGGCTGGGCGCTCAAATTGGGGGCCAAGAGGGGCCAAAAGTCTTCAATGGATAACTCTTTATGAGTTAATATTTTGTAATACATTACTGAAGCAAAGATGTTTATCTCAACCATTTACAACTATATGTTATGATTTTTATGTCGTATGGTACATAATTTGGGGCCACAGGGGGCCAGAATACTAAATCTTTGACGCTTTATATCTCGAAAGTAAGAAAAATTTTGATAAGTAATATTGAACAAAAGATGTTCAAAATCATGTTCTAAACAATATGCAACCTTTCATTTTTCGCTAAGCGTCCCCATTAAGGAGTTGAAGGGTTGGCCCCTAAATATTCCTTATGCAAATAACTCGAAAACGAAAATGAATCTCTGAATAGTTGTTGATCAAAACGTGATCAAAATCCTTAAAGCTTTAAGATGATATGAATAAGAAGGGCTGATTCCTAAAATTAGGGGCCATGAAGGGCCACTAGCAGATTTTTTAAGTCTTTAATGTTCAATGTCTTTTTACAGATTATGAAAAATCATTATTTTAGAATGAAAATCTAAATTAAAAGCTTATCTCATCTCATCAAGAATTGGACGGAAGACCCACTCGTTGTTCACAACGAGATCGTATCTAGTTCTCTATTATTATTTTTCTTCCAACTGATTTTGTGCAAGCGATTTCTCAGAGATGGCTCATCCGATTTTTATCAAACTTTCAGACGTGAAAGATATTTAATTGATCTTGATAGGTTTTTTTGCTTTTTGATGACGTCACTACCGGTCGTGAGATATGGACGATTTTCTGATTTTCAGAGGGTCGGCTTGTCCAGGAAACTCCTCCGAAATGACTTAAGATATTGACCCAAGATTTTTAGTGAGTATACAGGAAGGTTTGCTGAGTTGCAATTGGGTGCCTAAATCTTTCTAGCGCAAAAGGCGCCCGGATTCGGTAGGGCCAGAAAAAATGTCTCAGAAACATCTCACAAAATTTGACACATTTTGTTTCATATCTTCGTACCTGTTTATAATTTGCTAAAACATATAGAAGGAAAAATGTGCAAAATGTTAAGAACTTTCATTTGATATCAAGAAAAAGGGGCTGACCCCTCAAATTAGGGGCTCAGAGGGGCCAAAAGTTTTTCATCTATAACTCTCTAATGATCAATATTTTGTTATACATTACTGAAGCAAAAGTATTCATCTTAAGGATTTGCAACAATATATTATAAAATTTTGATCAAATGTTATGTAATTAGGGGTCACAAGGGGCCAGAATGTCAAATATTTGACGCTTTATATCTCAAAAAGGGGGAATATTTTGATAAGCAATATTGAATAAAAGATGGTCAGAATAATGTTCTAAACAATATGCATACTTTGAATTTTTGTAAAACTGTCTCGTTAAGGACTTGTAGCGAGGGCCCCTAAATATTTCTATTTAGCATATCTCCATAATGAGATAGCTGCTTAAATAGAATAGTACTTTGGTCAGTGATCTTGCAAAGTGTTTGCTTTGAAAATAAAGTGCTAGTTAGATGCGCATTTTACTCTTCATATTGGCCTTAAATTTGCGAGCTAATATACTTGAGGAAAGCACCCAGCTGCTCATAAAATTATGTATGGTAGTTGGAATTCAGCTTTAAGTTTGGTCTTGAGAATTGTGTATGTCTGTTTACAAAATTGTATCATGTCATGAGCTTAGAAGTTCAAAAATTTGTGTATTAGGTCAGCGAACAGCTGCATATAAAAACTGTATGTTAGTTGGAGCTCAGCAGGATTCAGCATATGAATGTTCATAAAATATTAATTGTAAAAATGAGCTCATGTTGTTTATGAGGTAGCATATGGTCTCTTTTTTAGTCTCGTTAACTTTATGTTATTCACAGGTTTAGTAACCTCTTTCCTTTATATTTTGTTACTCATTCAGATATAACTTTGTGCTTATGTGGGTTTTTAGCTCACCTGAGCCGAAGGCTCAAGTGAGCTTTTCTGATCACATTTTGTCCGTCGTCCGTCCGTCTGTCCGTCTGTCCGTCCGTCCGTCTGTAAACTTTTCACATTTTCGATTTCTTCTCAAGAACCAATAGGCCAATTTTAACCAAACTTGATACAAAGCATTCTTGGGTGAAGAGGAGTTTAAATTGTTAAAATGAAGGGCCAAGTCTCCTTACAAGGGGAGACAATCAAGAAAAGACAAAAATAGGGTGGGGTCACTAAAAAATCTTCTCAAGAACCACTGGGCCAGGAAAGCTGAAACTTATGTGGAAGCATCCTTGGGTAGTGTAGATATTAAATTGTTAAAATCATGTCCCCCGGGGGTAGGGCGGGGCCACAATAGGGAATCCAAGTTTTACACAGAAATATGTAGAACAAATCTTTAAAAATCTTCTTCTCAAGAACCACTGGGCCAGGAAAGCTGAAACTTATGTGGGAGCATTTTTGGGTAGTGTAGATATTTAATTGTTAAAATCATGACCCCTAGGGGTAGGGCGGGGCCACAATAGGGAATCCAAGTTTTACATAGAAATATATAGAACAAATCTTTAAAAATCTTCTTCTCAAGAACCACTGGGCCAGGAAAGCTGAAACTTATGTGGAAGCATCCTTGCGTAGTGTAGATATTAAATTGTTAAAATCATGACCCCAGGTGGTAGGGCGGGCCACACCCTTGCAGAATATTCCTGGGATGTCCTAAGAAATCCTAAGACAATCTCAAGATTTATTCCTCGGATATCTTGAAAAAATCCTAGGATTATTCCCAAGATATCCTGAGATGTTTTTGGAACAGGAATTCCTGGGATTTCCTTGGACAGTCCCAATTCAGGGGTTCTAGAAAAATCCCAGGAATCAAAACACCAAGACTTCCCAGGATATCCCAGGAAAATCCCAACACTTAAAATGTCCTAGGAAATCAGGAATTCCTAGGATTTCCTAGGATATCCTAGCCTCCTAGAACATCTTTTTTTTTTTTTTTTTTTAAAAATCATACATAGCAACAAAGCAGAATGATAAGATCTCTGAAAAAAATTTAATGAATGTATGCATTATAAAAATTCATGGCCACACAGAAAAAATAATACATAAAATAATTTTTTTAAAAATGCTGATGGTATCTGATACAACAAATTCTTTACAATTTTACTGCTGTAACATTATTGTGCAGTTATGATTCAACATCATGATTTACACACAAGGGGGGGGACAGATTGTCCTATTTTCAAACTATGTTAATACATTCTGAAGCAGCTCTCATAGAATATTTATGATATACACATGTACATGTACAATGACAAATATTAATAATAATAAAAAAGATATTTAAATCAACAACCTAGTGTAAAGAGTAGGGGTGAGGCCCTCAGGGTTTGTCACTTCTGAAGAATTCTGTACAATAAAAGATTCAGATACCAAACAGAACTAATTCATAACACTCCCCCCCCCCCCATAAAAAGAACAAAAACAGTATGCACCTGGTGGCAACAAAGTTTGAAAAAATAAAACAAAATCATATAGGTCAAAGTCACAAGGTCATTAACCTTGATGTAATTTGAAAGAACTTAATTAGTGGAGTATGGATACTCAATATAAAATCTCTACCTCTTATGGTTCAAAAGTAAAAGATTCAATAAGGCTATATTTTAGCATAACGATGACAGTCAAGGTCATTGGTTTTGGTCTCATTTGAAAGTGGAGTAAGCATACCATATATGAAGTATCTATATCTCTCATGATTCAAAAGTTATGGCCAAAGGTAAATTGGCAATAGACAGATAAACAGACAGGCAAAAACAATATGTGCCCCCGAAAGAGGCCTTGACCTCTGACCATTTCACTTCAAAATATATAAGGGTAATATTTTAAATGTATAAACAATATTAAATTTGTATTGATGATTAATCATGTTCTGCAGTGTGATCGTCAAAATGAGTTATAATATAAAATGTCATTGCAATATCTGATGGCTTTTTGGAAATGTTAAGAGAACGAAGTGTTACAGACAGACATATTGACAAACAGAAGGATAAAAAGACCCAAATTAATATCCCCCCTGCACCTCGTCAATCCAATATAAGTCGCCCAGCTTTAGTTGATCACTGATGTATCTTCTTTAGCTGTACATTTTTCTTCTTCATCGCCAGTGGCCTAGTTGCAGATCGTGAAGCCTTGTTTGCTTTTTCTTCACTCGACTTTTCACTCTTTGCTAAAATAAAATTTTATTTAATGTATTCCATTGTTTAGTCTAAAAATGTAATTATTTCTAAGGGATGAAAATCAAACTTATTGTAAAATTTAGTAGCCAATGACGCTACATGTACAAAGCTTTTAGATTCTACCAGTCCATAAAAATATGTGTTTGCCCAAGTAAGATGAACCATTTTTCTCAAAAGATTTATTTTATTCACACTTGCATAAGGAATAAGGTATGTTAATCAATTGCATACATGACGTGATTTACAAATGATGTCATAATAATCTTACTGAATAGCCTTTTTGTAGAAAATAAAATTTTAATTCGCAATAGTTAACCGCTTTACCACAGCTGTCGTATGAAGTCAATTTACTTGGCATTAAAATACTGTGAATTAAACTCTCCGTGTGAACAGAACATTAAAATCATAAATTAACATTATTTGAACAGCTTACCTTCCTCTGCAATATTCTCCTTGTTGTAATTTGCTTCTTTTCCCTTAGTCCGAGTTAAACAGTCTGCAAAGTTATCAATAAAATTTTTTATAAGACGTGTATATATTTGTTCTTTTGTAATCTAGCTGAAATTAATTTTAATGATGGCTGTCATTGACATTTCTTGCTGATTTTTTAATTTTTCTGTTCTAAATTTTGCGAATATTATCTTATGTGTTCTACGACATCTGCGTCAGTTTTCCCAACTTAATATAAGTTACAGAGATTGAAATGTACCATAAACTTTCATTCACGACTTTCACATTTACAAAAGTTATTCCCCTTTGGGGGGTCAATCCAGGGTCAACAGGCGTAAGACACTGTTTCCCCTCTATTACCTTACCAACTTTATGGGTCAGTATCTCAGAAATATAGTATGTATTAATTTGTTCATTACGTTTTTAAAGTTGCCCCATGTTCTGGCAATACAGTTACAGACCGATATTGTTAGATATAAATGTCTGAAAATAAAAATATTTCCAGGTAACTTACAAAGGACAAAGTGGGGAAAATGAGTGTTACGCCGACAACCGGAGATAACACTTAGGAATGTGAAATCCGTCTATTCTTTCAAGTTTACAAAAAAAAAAATTTAAAAAGATTACAAGATACCTGAAACTTTCTCTTCATTTGGTAGTCTCAATGGGAGTTTCCAGTCTCATAATCCTTGCCAGGCTTCAAGGTTCTAGCTAGAAGATAACAATGCAATGAAGGCTTTATTTAAGAGTATAATTCCAAAATTTACACCATGTCAAAACATTCAATGCAAATTTAACAGTAACTGATAATAAATATTTGTTTATAAGTCTTCTGCTTACTAAATTTTAACATGTAAAACCTGAAAATATTTCACTGTGTATGTACGTTTGATCTTCATGGACTAGACTGAATCACAGTATGCCAAAAACCTTTTACACATATTCAAATCGTTTCTTCTATTTCAATATTGAAATATTATACAACACATCACATGCACTAAATTATTAAACAATATTTGTGTGTTTAAATACATATTACAAGGAACCACTCGCCACTTACCCCACTGGCCTGTGGCCATGATATCTACACTTCTTCCAACATTCCCTTTACTGCACTCCTAGCGAAACCAAGATTTTTGGGAAAGGGAACATGGTTTATGTGAAGAATTAGAGTCAATCTTGGGCGTAAGTTGTGCATTTCGTTACATTTCACCAGTATCTCTAAACATTGCCGCTCCTTGAACTCCTATTTTGCGCTTCTCGATTAAGTCTCGCGAGAGGATGATACAGGACGGTGTAAAGTTATTTCGTGCCACACCAAGAAAATGCGGTTTGTTTATTCTTGAAAATAATTTGTGATTAATGTGAATTTACGTTTTGTATTTTTTTTTACAAAAAGAAAATATATTTTAGCGAATATTTTCTGACAAATTAATATTCAAAGCTGAGTTGACAGTAAAATATATTTTATACACCGGGTACTAATTGATCGAAGATCACTTTTTTGCACCACCTCTCGGAAGTTCGCGCGAGAGAATGCTGAAGACACGGTGTAGGGGTATTTTGTACACCTTTAAGAAATATTCCGACATTTTCCCGAGAATCTTGTTAAAAAAAAACACGTAAGTTATTATCATTGACAAACGACCCGCATATTAGAAAAATAAAATATAAATATCCTTGATCAACCAATTCTACTAACAGAAAGTGTTACAGAAGAAAATATTTTCGAAGAACCACGATGATACATTTAGGCCAAGAACAATTTGCATGGAAACCGTCCAAACACAAATATGGCGGATCATGAAGTTGTCACATTGTGCTGTAAACAACGACTTTTTTTCGCATCTACAAGCCTGTCACGATGTCTGTAAGTATCTTATTGCTAAGTGATGAATGAAAATTAGTATATCTGGCGATAAAACCTATAAGGAAAGCTCATTTTTATCGTATTTAGTAGTTATGTTACGACTCGAATTTGGTCAAAACCTTTGAAAAGTTTTTTTTTTATCACTGTTTATGTGGATAAAATTTTCAGGAAACTCTATTAGTTTTACTGCGTATTTTAGATTTTCCTCGTTAAATAAAAGCAATACTCAATATCAAAAACATGAGGATTAATATTCTCAAACTCAATACAACACGATTCTAACCCAACAAAATTTGAAATACCAAGCTTTTTAAGTCAGAAAGTGACGAAAGTATGATGTGACAGACCAAGTCATGCTTCTTGAGTATGCTGTTTATGTAGTATTTAAATTTGTGTAGTGTACTCTTCTTTCAATGACTCAATATTTACTTTTCTTTTGTATAGTATCTCTGGCAGTTATGGGTGAATATAATCATACAGATTTGGATGAAGATGTTAAAGATAGTAAAGTCAAAGACAGTTTGATGAACCAAATGACACTGATAAAGAAGAAGATACAAAAAAAAATACTTCTAGCCAGGCATGTGACTTTGAAGCTGATAGTTTGGTAACCATCTGAGAGATATATAACCTGTATGCAGGTGATGACGGTATAGGAGAACCATTTCTTATAATGTGCTCTGAGGAAAATATGTTTTATTTTGTCGAAATGAAATGTGAAGTGAAAAATTAAATTGACAGATGAAGAAAATTTACCACTCCATCCTTCTGCATGTATGGTCTTCTGAATTCAAAGCCATTTGAAAACCAACTTTAAATTAAGAAGAACACTTTATTATCAGTGAAACATTCTGGAAAATATTACTTCTACAATCTACATAGAAAGAAAAAGTTTATTAATACTTAAAGTTGATGTTGTATTGCAAGATGGCCAAGTTTGTATGACCAGTGCTTTCGAAAAAAAAAACTATGCTTGCACTCAGTTTCCCATGAACGAAGCAATCTAAAGATTGAGTGTAGAATTTAATTCTAATGGATAAAAATCAACTCAGAAATGTGTGATTTGAAAATGGTGAAATATTGTTTGTCTGTAAACAATTTTTTCTTTAAAACATATTACATGTATAACTCCTCCCTGACAGCATCAATATTTCAGAAAGTATTTGATTTAAAAATAGTTCTAGGGTCAGTGTCTTTCTATGTATAATGTATCAAGTATAATATGTAATGATTGAAAATTATTCATTTTATGATTTTATGATTTTATGATATTATACATTAAAACTTTAAAAATAATAAAATTTCCTGTCATTCTGTTTAAACATTTATTAACATGTACAAGTTTGTAAAGTTTAATTTGTCTTTTTACAAAAGTCCCAACATTAAGTCAAAAGTCTTAGGAAATGGGATTATCATAAAAATGATTAATTCCTGGCTTTACAATGAAATGTCCTGGCAAGATTTGGATTTGAAATGTTTAACAAAGAAGTCCTGGAAGATCCTAGGATGTCCTGAAATCAAATCCCAGGATTGTTACCCCTAGGATTTCCTCAAATCAGATTGTGAGGAAATCTTAGGAATTCTTAGGACATCTTAGGAATTCCTGAGAAGCATTTTCAAGTCAGGAATAATTTCTGCAAGGGCTAAATAGGGAATCTAAGTTTTACATAGAAATATATAGAACAAATCTTTAAAAATCTTCTTGTTAGAAACCACTGGGCCAGGAAAGCTGAAACTTATGTGGGAGCATCCTTGGGTAGTGTAGATATTAAAACGTTAAAATAGTGACCCCTGGGGATAGGGTAGGGTCACAATAGGGAATCCAAGTTTTACATAGAAATATATAGAACAAATCTTTAAAATCTTCTTCTTAGAAACCATTGGGCCAGGAAAGCTAAAACTTATGTGGGAGCATCCTTGGGTAGTGTAGATATTAAATTGTTAAAATAGTGACCCCTTGGGGTAGGGTAGGGTCACAATAGGGAATCCAAGTTTTACATAGAAATATATAGAACAAATCTTTAAAAATCTCTTCTCAAGATCCACTGGGCCCGGAAAGCTGAAACTTATGTGGAAGCATCCTTGGGTAGTGTAGATTCTAAAGTTTTAGAATAAAAAAGGGAAGGGGGTTGTTGGGCATGATAGGTATAGCAAGAGGGGGAATCTGGTAAAGATCTGCATCACCCAAGTTACTCAGGTGAGCGATGTGGCCCATGGGCCTCTTGTTATTGTTTGTGCTTATTTAGTCCATATGGTTACATGATATTCAGTACACAATGTTATTATCTGTTAAAGAACATGTTGTGAGATGTGTATTGTTTCATTATGTATATAATTAGTAACATTAAGTTTCTTGAACATTCCAGAGTGGTCAACATGTTTGGTCATTTTATCTAGAACATTCTTAAATTTTGTGTATGTCCAGATTGTTCCAGTAATATCATGTTTTAACAATTTCTAGAATATTCTAGATTTATATTACTGTATAAATACCCTGTCAATTCGATGCATAATAATAATTGTGAATACTTTGTCGTATAAGCACTATTGAGATATAAATGGGATATATTTTCACTGGGACATTGTGTGCAGCAACGGACACTCTGATGTATGTATTTTTAGATTCTTGCTAAGTTTGTACTTTATGTTTGATATATTTATTATATATTACTGTAAATAAATTATTGTTAAGTTTAAATTGTGTTATTGATCTTTGCTGGCATTTCGGGTAATTCTGACCCATAACAGAATTGGGGGCTCGTCCGGGATAAATTCTGTTATGGGTCAGAATTACCCGAAATGCCAGCAAAGATCAATAACACAATTTAAACTTAACAATAATTTATTTACAGTAATATATAATAAATATATCAAACATAAAGTACAAACTTAGCAAGAATCTAAAAATACATACATCAGAGTGTCCGTTGCTGCACACAATGTCCCAGTGAAAATATATCCCATTTATATCTCAATAGTGCTTATACGACAAAGTATTCACAATTATTATTATGCATCGAATTGACAGGGTATTTATACAGTAATATAAATCTAGAATATTCTAGAAATTGTTAAAACATGATATTACTGGAACAATCTGGACATACACAAAATTTAAGAATGTTCTAGATAAAATGACCAAACATGTTGACCACTCTGGAATGTTCAAGAAACTTAATGTTACTAATTATATACATAATGAAACAATACACATCTCACAACACCTCCCCCCTTAAAAAGTTTGAATGTCAATGAAAAACTTAAATTGTAAAACATGTACATTAATACAAAATCTAGTATGTTTACGATACTCTTGACAAGGCGTCTGCAATAACATTGTCTTTGCCTTTGATATGCTTAATTGTTATGTTGTATTCTTGTAACAACAAACTCCATCTAGTCAGTCTTTGATTCTTGTTTGACAATTTATGCAAAAATGTCAGGGGGTTGTGATCAGTATACACAAGAATTGGATGCAAAGTAACATTCAAATAAACATCAAAATGCTGTAAAGCTAACAACAAAGCAAGGCATTCTTTTTCAATAGTAGAATAATTTCGTTGACATTTTGTAAGTTTCTTTGAAAAATAAGAAACAACTCTATCTACATTATCACTAT